CAATTTGCCAAATTTGCCACGTTAACTCTTTGCAGTACATTTTCAAAACAGTAGACTGCAGTGTAGCTACCTGAAATAGGTTGGAAGGAAAAAGGATCACCCCTTGAGTCAGTATTTTGTTGAATCACCTTTTGCTTCAGTTACAGCCTTAAGTCTGTTGGGATATGTCTCTGTCTCTACTAACTTTGCACATCTAGACTTTGCAATATTGGCCCATCTTTGCAGACACCATGTAAGAAAAAAAAAAAAAAAAACTCACTGAGTTGGAAAAAGGATCACCCCTTGAGTCAGTATTTTGTTGAATCACCTTTTGCTTCAGTTACAGCCTTAAGTCTGTTGGGATATGTCTCTGTCTCTACTAACTTTGCACATCTAGACTTTGCAATATTGGCCCACTCATCTTTGCAGAACTGCTCAAGTTCAGTTTAATTTGATTTGTGGACTGCAGTCTTCAAGTCATTCCACAGATTTTCAGTGGGGCTTAAGTCTGGGTTCTGACTAGGCCATGCAAGGACATTCACCTTTGTCTCCTTCAACCACTGTGTGCTCAGTTTTGCTGTGTGCTTTGGGTCATTGTCATGCTGGAAGGTAAACCTTATTCCCATTGACAACTTTCTGGCAGAGGGCAGCAGATTTTCCTCACGATTTTGACGGTATTTTGCCCCATCCAGTTTTCTTTCTATCCTGACCAGTGCTCCAGTCCCTGCTGCAGAGAAATAACAGGATATTACCACCTCCATGCTTTACTTTAGGAATGCTGTTATTTGATGGTGAGCTGTATTGGATTTCCGCCAGACATATCGTTTGGTGTTGAGGCCAGATAACTCAATTGTAGTCTCATCTGCCTAATTTTAGTCTCATCTGCCTCAGAATCTTCAAGGTGTGTTTTTGCAAAGCTCAGTCGTGACTGCATGTGGCCTTTCTTGAGGAGTAACATTTTTTCTTGCAACCCTCCCATATAAGCCACATTTGTGGAGAATTTGTGATATTGTTGTCATATGCACACAATGACCTCTCTTTGTCATAAATTCCTGCAACTGCTTCAGAGTTGCTGTAGGCCTCTTGGTCGCCTCTCTGACCAGTTTCCTCCAAGCTCTTTCATCCAGTTTGCAGCGACCTCCTGATCCATCGAGGGTCCGTGTTGTAACAAATACCTTCCACTTCTTAATAATAGACTTCACTGTGCTTTTAGGCATTAATAAAGCCTTTGAAATTTTTTTCTATCCATCTCCTGACTTGTGCCTGTCCACAACTTTATTCCGGAGATCTTTTGACAGTGCCTTGCCACCCATAGTTGATTGTTTGCTTCAGTTGCACTACCAAGGACTGAAATGCTCCAGGAAAGCTCTTTTCATGCTGAGCTAATCAAAATGACCACAGCTGATCACAGTTGAAAGTCAAATGGCTTTGTGTGCCATTGAGAAGGTGATTAACTACACCTGATTGAGTTTACAAGTCCTTTTTAGGAGGGGGGTGATCCTTTTTCCAACTCGGTGATTCTGTTTTTGTTTTTTTTTTCTGACATGTTGGTGTTATATCTTTCTCTTGGATGTTATAAGTTGCACTGAGTAAATACAGCTGGATAAAACAAAAACTGTATCTCTCTTCATTTCAGACTGTAAAGCAACAAAATTTGATAAGGGGGTGATTCTTTTCCATACCCACTGTATAACTTTACTAAATATGGCACAAACACATTGAATGAATGAACAATCAATTAGGTACAATTAACAGTATTAAACTTGAAAATCTGTACATTTACATTAACCATCTGAATGAACTGATTCAATAGATTAATTGGACTTTCTAATACCACAAATGTTAGTACACAAAGGGTAAGTTTACATGACAACTAAACGGAAAGATTTTTCCTTTGCGTTTTTGAAAAGTTGTCACATAAAGGCAAAAATGTTGTCAAAACGATAGTTGTTCACACAGATCCACTAAAATGGCTAAAAACGCTGTATTATTCATGCCAGGCCAGTAGTTGGTGAAGTCACACATGTGCACATACCTCTAGACTGAACATGTAATATGCATAAACTTAACACCGTTTTCACAAATTCGTGTTTTTGTAGTTCACACAGAGACGATAATGGTATCGTTCTCAAAAATTTACACTTTGAAACTCGTTTTCAAGTTTGCATTTTCAGGCCCCCAAATGCCATTGTTGTGTAAAGAAACATGCATAAAATGCATAAAAAGTTTTCTGTTATTATTTGGAGAGAGGACCATTTAGGACAAATCAATTTACAATAATGATTCAGACTTTCCAACACTACATATGAGATGGGAGTACTTAGGATG